AATCTGTAGAGTTTCTGGCTCTTTCAGCCATCAATCTCATTCAGCTGACTGATGGAGGATGCAGATGAAGGACAAGGAATGCAATTCAACAAAATCAGCTTCTTCTCTCACAAAATTCCCCAGCTTTGGAATAAGCTCAGCTAACAGCTCTCCTCTCAAGCTAATGATGTCAGATGGTTTCCCAACAAGGTACAAAGAAATTAAGAGACACCCCTCTGCCTCTACCCTCTGGCCAAATTTGGCCAGGATCACCCAAAGACCATCCAACGCCCCATGGTGCATTTTCAGATCAAGCTGTTCCTTTTTCCGGCTGCCCTGCAAACTCAGTCTTCTAGATATTATAAACATTTGCATAGTTCTTACAAGACATACGGGTGCCACTGAAGTTGAAGTGCAAGGAAGGAAAATTATGCCAGTAGTAAGGAATTTCTCATTTTCATTACTTCCTCTCTTTCTTTCCAATTACATCCAAGCAATAAAGATTGATTGCTGGCAATATCACTAGTGCACCAGGCCAGCAGTACTCATTAGTGCAGAGCTTCCCGAACTGTGGTCCACAAGCCATCAACAGCAGCAAAGCCAGAGCAAGAGACACACAACTGGTCCCTGGAATCCGATTAAATAGGTTCTTGGTTTTTTCCACACAGATCCTAGTGCATTCACTAGTGCTACCTGCCACTTCCTTGGCTCTGTGTTTCCATACATTTCAGATTTGCACTTTGTGTCTCAGAAGCCAAGATACATCATTCTCAGGGCTGTATCAGCTAGGAATTTCATATGGACCAAATGGCAAAACAAAGCAAAGTGCCTTGCCTCATCTCTTTAGGCAGGAAGGTGGAAAGCAGAGCTCCAGCTGCTCATCCCAGCCATAGTGTGTCCAGCACATGGCAACTCCCAAGTTTTCAAGTTACAAGAGAATACTCCCCTGGGTCTTTGGGAGCTTACCCGCTGGAATTAGAGTCTTCACATACCATTTTCAAGACTTTGACTTCTTTATACTGCATACAACTTTAGTATGTTTTAACAATGGAAAGGAGAAACATGCATAGAAATTATTAATGGTAAGTTTGATAAATAATAAACTCCTTTCTTTTTGTTGCTGTCTCCTCGTAACTAGTCTTCTAACAACAGCATTTTGCAAATTCTGTGCTTCACTGAATTTCTCTATTGGTTAAAGCACTACCTGAAGAGTCAGATATAGGTATTCAGATCTTTGATGGGCAAATCGCTACCAATCTAGCTAGTTCTCTCTAGCACAGGATCTCTTAAGGAAAGCAAGAGCCACTGGAAACACAAGTACAGTTCTGTGCATTTCCTTTTGTGTCTTGGAGGTTTGGGAGTTAGCAGTCAAAGAAAGCGGGAATGCTGGCATGAGCCAAGGGGTATTAAGGAGATGACATTTTTCTTTCTACAGCATTCTCTCAGCCCTTAGGATATATCCTCCTTTTTTTAAACAAAAAAAAGAGAAGGCAAGCAGAGCCTTGGATTACAAGCACAGAAAGAAAATAGTTCATTTTACTGACTGTCATAAAGAAACTCTGGATGTTTGGAGGACAGAATGTGGAAAACAAATGTTCTTCCTGGGTATTTCACAGTGAAATACAAATATTTCATTATGAAATAAAAATATTCTGCTTTGCAATCATCTGAGTTGATCTTTAGTCTTGAGGGTTCAGCAATTCAACAGAAGAAAAACAAAGTCCATAAAAATCAATGAAGTCAGGCAAGTATTACGTATCAGGTGACAAAAGTTATTTCAGGAGCTTACAAACCAGTGCACTGGTACGATGATGCCTCTGAAAGGCAATTCCCATTAGAGTAGCAGCGCTGCTGTCTAATAATGTTTTGTCCATGTTTCAGTACCTTAATACCCCAGTAGTTGCAAATGCACCAAGAGCAATTTGTGCAGGACTCTTCCTGGAGAAAAGAGCTATTCTAGGATTATCAGGTTTTTTTCTCTATATTAATAGCTGCTGTTCTGCTATACCAATGGACTGATTTAGCACCGACACTGACAAGGCACCTCAGCTTCCGACACTTGTAAAGGAGCTTTGTGTTCCCCTCAACCATCAGAAAGGGGAGGAGAAATTTGCTCTGTTTTCACAGTTATATGACAGCTTTTAAAAATTTTACAGCATGAGCACAGCACCTAATCCAATAAACCTTGCCAGGAACATTTAAAATCAAGGTCTCTGAGATTTTGTTTCCTATAAATTCACCAGACTTATAAGAAAAGGGTCCTTTCCTCAGAAATGCAGCACCAATCCCACCAGAGCTGCACAGGGCTGAGGACTTTTTCTGCCACGCTGTGAGAAAGATAGCTGAAAGTACTGGGAAATAGGGTGCAGGGATGCACAAAATGGACTGGAGTTAATGAATAGGAACAGGAAGAAGAAAATGAAAGCATGATTTCTGAAGGAAGTCAAAGCATTTGCCCAAAACAGAATAAAAAGCAGGAACAATCTACAATCGGCATTTCATTCATTTAATGCAATGACTGCTCTCTATACATGGAAATAACTGCAGTTTTTATTTGGAGATCAAAGCATGAAAAAAAATTCCTTTTCCTACTTACTATTGTCTGTCACTAACAAACTACCTAGAGAAGGGTGGAGCGGAAAGGTGGAAACAGGAAAACTTCCGTGAGCATGTATGCAAAGAGAAATCCTGTCTTCTTGCAGAGATGCTTCCCCTTTAATTTCACAAAGTAAAACATGACAGATAACTGACAACAACATGAAAAACAAAACAGCAGCATCATCAACCTGTAATCATTCCAAGATTTTTGATCCCTAGAAATGGAAATTTTTTTCTGCTTTTACTAAATTTAGATCAGCTTAAGCCAGTACTTTTTAAAATCATCTCTTTTTAGTTACTTTCTCCACTGTGAGAAGGTGAAGAGCTGCATCTATTATAACTACATGCTGTGCAAACCTCATTTGGACATGATCATCATCAATCACTCCTGCTGTGCAGGTAGCATGTGAAAAGGAAACAAACCAGAAATCGTGCTGCAGTATTTGACACCACCCACTCCCCTGCTCGTATGCTTTAGTTCACAAAGAGCCCAGCTGGCATATGGTTATTCTCTCTGTTTGGGACCCCTGTCTTTTCTCTCCCTCCAAGCATATGCGAATAGCTTTGATGGTTTCAGGAGAAAGACAAAAACCTTTCCTTCTCTCTCAAAGGATTAAGGCTTTCCTACTGAAAAGCATGCCAAAGATATATTATTATGTGCCACCTTGCCTTTGTAAATACACACACATTACTTGCAGCAGTACCTCTTCTTATCACATGCACATGCTTCAGTGGAAGATAAATATTGTAAAATGAATCAGAATGCAGTGAGTATCCTTTGTGGCAGTGGCATGCATAGTCCTTTTAAGTGCTTTTAATGCCAGCATCCTATTGCATTTCTTTAGCACACACTTCAACTAGCTCTCAGTGCTATAATCTCAACCAGGGACAGTCAGTAGAGGCACAAGGCTTAAAAGAGCAAGAAAGACAGTGTTAGTCTTTTTCAGAAAGGTCTGGAGTAAGCTGCAATAAATATTAGACAATATTTAGGAATGCAGAAGCAACCAGAGTCAGAGTTGAAAGACAGACTGCAGTCTTACCAATGCTCTTTCTCTAGGGTGTAAAGCTTCTCTAGGGTGTAAAGAGAGCACCTTCCTTGTGTTTCATAGCTCTGGTTAGTACCCATGCCAATTCAGCAGACTTGCACTAGTTTATCACATCCCGACTCCTTGGTATGACTCAGGTCAGCAGAAGTTGCCTGCACTTTGTGTTTTCTGATGCACCAGCACTGCAGCATGCCTGGTTTTAAACAGCTGTACAGCAGCGCACACTAGAGAACAGCTCTTTCCATCTCACTCACAGCCCTCTGTGTACCTCCGACAATTCGTGAGAGCTCAGACAACCAGTAATACGTACATGATAACATCCAACTGCAAGCACACACACCTCCCCTTAAGTGCCGGGACAGAAGTGGTGTCATTTCACAATACCCCTTATTTCCTTCAGGTTGTTAATAAACCAATCTGGAAGAACGAGGCATTTAAAAGCACCTCCTGAGGACCTTGCAACAGACCCTCCCACATACAAATCTGGATGGGAGACTGAACTAGAAATCACTTCCTCTCCTCCCCTAGCAATCATGCTACTCCCTTTTTTACAGGACAAACAGCATTTGTAACCTGAACCCCCCGCTGAGCCTCTTTAGTCTCCGTCTACAGCCTACGCTCCCTTTCATGGCAGTGAAATCCCCAACCACCCTGCTGTTGACAGACACCTCATTTATTAAAAAGATGATGCAAAGATGCATGCCCGTGTGTCCCATCATGGTGTCCTGCTGACACACGCATGCTTCATAGTGATATGATAAGCTCTTGCCACAGAGTAGTAGCCCCAGAAGAAGTGAGGAGGGCTCTGGTCTCTCTCCACCCTTCAGAGCCATGTCTTCAGGAAGGAATGGCAATGCTAGGACCCATCACTGACTGGGACAGAGAATCATCACCTGGAGATTCCTGATACAGGCTTTAACGTTGTCATGTACTGAGCGTGCCATCCGTGATACAGCAGTGGATGCAAGCATGTGCTCAACCTTAAAATCATTGATGACCTCAGTGATTCCTCTAAGACTATGCATAACTTCTGAGGCAAGCACAAGCAAGAATGAAAGATCAAGGCAACAAAAGGAGTGTATGGCTCTCACTGGAACAAAGTGATGAAGGCATTCATGCAACTGGCCTCTATAAACACACTCTTTTGCCTTGTATCACGGTTTTGAAACGCAGCTGAAGGCCGGGAAATGACAGGGTAAAGGAAACCCTCTACGTTGTCCACACAAATTAATGAGGCCACAGAAAGCGTAGCCTAGGCACCACTTTGTTCAACTTCCGAGTTTAAACTTCTAAGTTTAAAAGCAGCAACAAGTTCGCCTACCATCTCAGTAAGCATACACAAACGCAACCGTTTTGCAGTTTCAAACGTGTACTCACCCAGAAGAGAAGGTTGAAGACAAACATTAGGTACTTGATACACTGCAGGCAGTTGTGAGCCATGCTGCACCTCTTCAATTCTAGGAGAAAAATAAATGAGAGATCCAGGTAAAAGACAACGTACTTGTTTCCCTTGGGGGACGTGTACTTAGCCTTGGTGGCCTTAGGGCCTGGGTTGGTGTGGAATCCAAAAAAAGAGTTGCTGGCAGCCCCAAACTGGCCACCATACATGCTGCTGTAGCGACGAAAGGCGCCATTTGGGAAACTGTAATCCTTGCTGTCCAGGGAAGGGCTCCTGTGATAGGTCGACTCATCGGTGCTAGACCTGCGCATGGTGGCTTCAGCTCGTCCCGTCGCAACTGCTGCTCTGACAATCGCCGATGTCAATGGTGCGGGTGAAAGGGTTGTGATTTTCTTTCCTCCTCCTTGCTATGAATCCCCTATTGCTTTGCACCAGCTGTTCTTTTGTCTGCCATCCTGTCAAGGAGTTACACGTGCTGTGCGGCAGCAAAGTTGGCGAACTGAAGTCTGCTTAGCCAGGAGTTAGGGAGCAGCGTGATTCCACATGAGAAAGACTTCTGCACAAGTAAACATTCCCGCCGGTGTCACAGTCGTCCCTCCCGGCCCACCCCGCTACCAGAGAAGAAAAAAAGAGAGAGAGATATACTGTACCCAAAGCAATGAATTTTAAAAAAAGGAAGTGTGACCTCGCTTGGATCGCAAATGCCATATAAAACCCCAGCTCCACATGCCACACACAGACAAGAGAGTGACGCCGCACAAGACTCGCGGGCAAGGGCAGGAATTATCCAAAAGGCAAGCGGCTGCCGTGCCCCTTTCCTCTTCGCCACATGGCTCTGCCCCGAGACGCTCGGCTCACTTTAAGGCTCCCCGTATCCCCTTCCTGCGGAGGGAGCCTGTGCA